AGAGGAAAGTCAGCATTTGTCACTTCCAGTAAAAGAAAACACCATCTGCCCCAAACAACTGGTATTTACCTGGGAGGCCACCAAGTAAACAAAGCAGGACCTGCCCCATCATGCAGAAGACAGGTGAGAAGTATTCCCATCCTAACAGGACGCTCCTCCCCGTGGGCCCTCTCTAATGAGACAGAGCACCATCCTTAGGAAGCTGCCAGTGTCTCCTCTGCCTCAGCTCTCCATCTATAAAGTGGGGGCACTGCTAGTCTCCAGCCGTACAGTACATGGGAATTCTAAATGGCACGTATGCCTATCATATGAATTCTTTCATTTTACTGAACAAGTAAGGACAGCAAGGAGCCATAATAAATATGACTGTAGCTACCAACTCTGGCACACATTCCACGCCTACAAATCAACTCCTAAACAAGACAGTGAGTACAACAGACCAGTCACTAGCACCTGGGCTCAGTCTCTTTTGTTTTCTGTTTTTCAAGACAGGGTTTCTTTGTGTAGCTTTGGAGCCTGTCCTGGAACTCACTCTATAGATCAGGCTGGCCTCGAACTCAAAGAGATCCATCCACCTGCCTCTGCCTCCCAAGGGTTGGGATTAAAGGTGTGCCACCACTGTTCCAGCCTGTGCTGATTCTTAACTGACACCACCATGTTCATAGTTTTTTGGTTGTTTTTCATTTTTAATATTTTCTTTAATTATGTATACATGGGAGTAAATGACAGCAGAGGCCACCTCCTGCTGAAGTTACAGGTGATTGTGAGCCACCCGACCTGTGTGCTGGCAACCAAGCTCCAGTCCTCTGTCAAGTGCTCTTCACCATTGAGCCCTCTCTCCAGACTCATGTGACTGGTTTTTGAGAAGGGCTGGTGCATTCTGGTTAGTCCTGGCCACCAGCTTCCTACCCTGGAATGCAGACCTTGCTGCCACCGGAGACTGGCAATGAGCAGCACTTGGTGTGGTCCTGACCCTCTGCCTGCCTTCTGTCTACGTATATAAAGGCTCATTTTTACACTTTCAAGTTAAACTTTTCAAGCTAAACGTTGGAAATATTTTTAAACTCTCACACATCTACACAAAGGATGCGTATAAGAATAGCTTTAGTACACCCACCCTGAAAGAATGGAGCAGAGACACAGGTTATCACACAGAGGAGCCGTCTCCTTGGGGTTCTAAGTCATGTAAGGAAGAAAAACAGCCTCCACTGGAGTTAGGTCAGTTCAGTGGAAGACATGCCACTGAGCACTATGAGTCGGGCACAGTGCAGCCCCAGCACCGCAAGGGCAGGTGTGGGGAGACTGAGTTCAAGACCAGCCATGGCTACTTTCAGAAATACTGTTTCAAGGAGAAAACAATTGCTCAGATGTGGTGGTGCACGCCTTTAACCCCAGCACTCAGGCAGAGGCAGGCAAGTCTCTGTGAGTTTGAGGCCAGCCTGATCTACACAGTGAGTTCTAGGTCAGCTGTGTCTACATAAGATATCCTATCCCCAAAAAAAAAAAAAAAAAAAAAAAGGAAAAGAAAACAAAGACAAAACACTTTCCTCAGGACATACAGACAGCAACCAAGAAGAGTGTTCAACACATCAGCCACCACGGACATGCATGTTGAAACCTGCGGCATTCCACAGCAAGGCAGACAGAGACACACCATCAAATGTTTGTTAGAAAAGGTGTGGGGGGCCTGGAGAGATGGCTCAGTGGTTAAGAGCACTGGCTGCCCTTCCAGAGGTCCTGAGTTCAATTCCCAACAACCACATGGTGGCTCACAACCATCTGTAATGAGATCTGGTGCCCTGTTCTGCCCTGCAGGGATACACCTGTATATATAACAAATCTAGGAAGGAAAGAGGGGGCGGAGGGGGGAAGAAAGCAAGCTTTTCTATAGCTAGCTGCACACAGGCAACACCCAGCACTCAGCCTCCACCTCTGTGCTGCCAGCCCTTTGTCCTTTTCCCACAGGAGACAGCATGAGTGCTCATGCAGCTTTCGTCCTAGCCCATCCTTACAGCACAAGGCTAAGTCACGGCAAAACACCCATATCCAGCCTAGCACTGCCCAGTAAAGGGAAGGGACCAATGCATACTGTGCCAAGCACAATCTGAAGTGGAAAGGGAGTTTTGAGGCAGAAAACTAATCAGTGTAATTTTCCACTTAGCAGATAAAGGGGAAAACAGTAATGTAGAAAGTGTCTGATATAACCACCGAATCATGATTTAAAATTTTTAATTACCAAAACAAGAGAAGGAAGACATAGCCTAGCCTGTGAGCCTGCTCCTAGTGATTCCTAGTGGGCACACACCCAGAACCTTTTAAAACCACACCAGTTGCCCAGATAGTTGAGTATAAAGATCAAATAGCCAAAGAAAAGAAATTAACGATATAAGGGAAAGAAAAGGTGACAACCATACACAGGCCAAGACTGCATAGATTAATCTACAAATCCTTAGAAACAAGACTAGCAAGAGTGTAACTCACACAAATCAACTTTGCCTTTTATACATGAAGTTTCTGAAGTAGTTAAACCCACAGAAAGGAAGCTGAAAGGTGCCCCAGGCTGGGAGAGAGAGAAGGGGCTACTGCACGGGGACTAGGCTCCAGAAACAAACAAACCCTTCTAAAGACTGCACAGATGACGGATGCCACGCTGACAAACCAAAAAGTCTGTAAATAATAGCATCTCCGTATGTTGGCACAGCACAGCCCAAACTGTAGAGTGCCAAGGCAACCATCTCCTAAGAGACTGCGAGACCGACCGCAGGACAGATGTCTGCAACATTCCTGAGCTATTAAAGCCATCTCAATAAGGCTTATATGCCATGTCCCTAGATTCCAGAACTGTGGTGGCGCACACATTTAACACCAGCACTCAGGAGACAGAGGCAGAGGATCTTTGAGTTCCAGGACAGTCAACGCTATTTCAGAGAGACCCTAACGCAAAGAGGGGGAGGGGATGTTAAAAAAAAAAAATCAGCCTAGCATGGTGGTGCACGCCTTTAATTCCAGCACTTGGGAGGCAAAAGCAGGCGGATCTCTGTGAGTTCGAAGCCAGCCTGGTTTACAACGCCAGTTCCAGGGCAGCCAAGGTAAAGCCACTTGCGGCCAAACCTGACGACCAGAGTTCAATCTCCGGAACGCACATAGTAGGAGACAACCTTGTGCGTGCATGCATACAAACACAAACTGAAATTTTAAGGAAAGCAGACATCCTGAGATCTGTTTAAAACAAGAAACACTTTCAACCTTGTGTAAGAGCCCCTTCCCCGAGCCTCAGTTTCCCGCAGTGAAAACCTGACTAACGCTACTTTTGAGTAAGAATTCAATGGACGACATAAGCAAAACACTGGGCACGCAAAGCCGGGCGGACGCAGGAGACACGATGGGTGACGGCGCGCTGGCGACCTCAGAGGTCTCAATGCCGCGGAGAACCAGGGGGCGGGCCAGGTCTGCGGACCCAAGAGGAGCCCGCTGCCCACCCCAGCCCACCTGCTCCTCCAGCCGCTCGATCTCCAGCTGGTTTTTCTCCTCCTCCTCGTCGTACTCCCACTCGTCCTCCCCGGGGGAGCTCTCGGCGGAGGAAGCCATGGCGTCCTCCTCATCGCCGTCACTCTCGCTCACGCCTTCCTGCTGCAGGTCCCACCCTGGCTCCTTGGTCTTGGCCGCCTCGGCGGCCACAGCGCGGGACAGCTCTTTCCTCTCCACACTGGCTGCCTTCGCCTCCTCCTCCTCTTCCTCGGCCTCAGGCCCGGCCTGGGGCTCAACCTCCGGCTCGGACGCAGACGATGCGGCCGCAGTCGCCATCTTGCGCAGCCCGCGACTCTCGGGTCTTCCCTCGCTCACCGAAGCCCGGCGATCATCGGGCTGTCCGTGCTGTCCGCCTGATCAAAACTCCGCTTCATCCCCACCAGAAGCGGCACGGAGGGCCTCATGACACGGGAAACCCGTAAAATATCTACCGCGGAGAATCTTTTTATATTTCTCTAGAAGTTACTGTCAAGGGAAAAGGCTCATTATCTTAACGTATGTTCCGTTACAACCTTAGACAGTTGTTGGGTCTTTGAACCGGAAGTGGCGGCCATAGCGGAAGTCGTGAGAGCTAGTGTCTGTAGTAAGGTCGAGACGCCATCTTAAGAAGGTCAAAGTCATTCTTGGGACTAAGCGCCTGCAATGTTCAACCCGTTCTAGTTCGTGCTTGTTTCCCAGGAGCCGAGCCGCAGGTGCGATCGAATGCATCACTGAGAAAATTCCCGAAAAATAAAGCTTCCTCTCCTGTCGCATGCACACTCCCCTTTTTGTAAAGTCTAGTACCTAAGAGGTGTTAATCCCGGGCATTTTGTGACTTTTGGGGTTCATAGTAGTCAATATTATTAATAAGCTACAGTAAGTATTGTTTAGGAATGCCATACACTGTCATAAAATTGAATATTTTATACATGGGTATATAAGTCCATGTATATATACATGTATAAAACACCATGCCTCGGGATGTGGGTGTATGTGTGTGTGTATCTCGACATATACATGCCTCGAAGCATGGTGTTTGTTTCCTTCTTATAATTCTCGCTCTTGAGTAGAAAATCATTGTTATTTGGCCGATTGCCTTTGTCCTTCACTAGCAAGGTTAACGAGGCAAGAATCGTGTCCGCTTTGCTTCCCTCGGGACCCCCAAGATTCTGTAGTGACACCTAGTGTACACTCAATATGTATTTGCTCCACAGATGAAAGGGTTGTATTTGAATTAGTAAAGAGAACCCGTTTCCTGAGCCACACAGCCAGAACATGGAGAACTGGAACTTAGGCAAGTTCGAATCCCTAGTATGCCTGAGTCCGAGCGCCCTTGAGCGCCCCCGCGACGCCTGAGCAACTCCAACACCCATGCAGCAGCCAGACAAACTCGCCCACGGCTTCAGACCTTCCCGCTCTGCGGACCGCCACGCCTTAGGGGCGTGGCCAGAAGATCTGCGAGGGCGGAGCCTCGGTGACGTCGGCGTGCGCCCTTCTTTGACGTCGCCGAGGTCGACGCTGGTGCAAACCGGCAACATGGCGGCGGTTGGAGCCGGCCGTCTGAGGAGGGCGGTTTCCGCGCTGCTGCTCCGGAGCCCGCGCCTGCCCGCCCGGGAGCTGTCAGCCCCAGCTCGGCTCTATCACAAGAAGGTATGGGCGGGCGAGGGGGTGCGCGAACCGTCGAGGGGACGGGCGGCCGGCGCCAGCCGAGTACCCTTGGGAGAAACGGTCGGCTCCCCAGCCTCTCCCGACTCGCTTACCCCCGCTGAACAGTGACCCGACCCGCAGCTGTGCCCAGAAACAGCCACCGAGGATGCCGCGGCCGCCGCTCGGAGTGTCCCAACTCTGGCAGCCCAGAAGGGAGGGTCCTGGTGTGTCAGCCAGGGGACAGCACACACGCGGGCCTGGACTCACTGGCTCTCCCCAGCGTCCCCACCAGGCCTCTGCCCTTGCCAGTTGGCCTTGACAAGTCACTGGCCCTCGCCTCGCCTGTCCCCACTGATCTGAAAGCGCTCTTCGGCCGTTCCTGTGTGTGTGGAGCGCTCGGGCCCACAAATGCAAACATACTGCGTCGCTCTTCTAAGGGGCTGATGGCCTCCAGGCGAGCCAAGCACCGAACCAACATAAAACTTTGGTTCTCGGTGACTTGTGTGTGTATTTTCAGGGAGCACAAAGTATAGAAGGGTAGGTAGTTTGCGGGCCCCGACCTACTAAGGACGTAAAGGCTCCTTGACTTGAGACTCACTCGGAAAAACAAAAGACTACCACAGCTGATCGAGACATCCAAAGTACCGATTAGATGATGCGTCCTGGGGCCTTAGAGTTTAGACTCAAAATCGGCAGATTAGGTTGCCTCCTGCTAACTAGCCAAAAAAAAAAGCTCGAGGTTATTAAATCCTAATACGATTAAAGTCCCTGACTTTAATCGCTGTTTGTTCTTGCTTGGGTGCCTTGCCAAGGCCTTCAACCCCCATGGGAAAGGTGGTTTGTTGACATTATTTGGGCGGGCTGACAGCTTTGTGGCAGCAGGGGGCGCTCCTGTCCCAGAGTGGCGCTGTTTATGTTTACAGCCACAAATGACCAATCCCGGGCCTTGGCTCTTCCATAACAGTCTCCTTGAAACTTAATGAAGAAATTTTCTATTGGGGGCGTTTTTTATTCCTGGAGTTTTAAAATACATAATCCTCTTAAGACGGTGTGTTTTGTTTGGTAAAAACGCAAGTGGTGGTTGAGCCCAAATCTAGTATCAGTGTGTGAGTCACATGATCAGTTGTGGTTGAATTCCCTATGAAGCTAAGACCCTAACTCAGCGTTTTGCCACTATCTCAGACAGTATCTCCAAGATGAAGGTCGTTGGGAAGGAGATGAAAAGAGTTTGGGTCGCACTTTGTCCCACCTCTGTCGCGTTCAGATTGCTGACCCGAGGGAGACAGTAACGCCGAGGTGAATTCTGCTAATCTGTTGTTTCAGGTTGTGGACCATTACGAGAATCCTAGGAATGTGGGGTCCCTTGACAAAACGTCTAAAAATGTCGGAACAGGATTGGTGGGTGCTCCTGCATGTGGTGACGTCATGAAATTGCAGGTACTGGCTGGATGAAAAGGAACACCATTTGCTCACAGAACCTTTCGTCTTCTCTGTTCTATGAGATGGGTGGTGAGGGTAGAGACTTGTCTTGTTCTGAAAGAGATCACTTCGTTTTCCTCGTCTGCATCAGTGTAGGCCCTGCTTTCAGGGAGTGGGAGGCTTGGTGAAGGTCACTGACCAAATGAGCTACAGGAGCTAGCACTCCCCAGTGAGAAAGGGAATGTGTTGAGCAGGAAGCCATAGCTTCAATTGCAGTCTCCCCGATGGCCAGTAGGATGGAGCACTGATCAGTGTCCAAGAGAAAGGTATTAATGGAGACCTTGTTTGCAAACTCTACTGGTGCCTACGGCTGATAATGGCAGCAGCTGTGAACAGACTTGTGCAAACAGGGATTCATATGCAGCAGGCTAGGGTGGGGTGAGAGGTATCACTTCCCTGCTCCTCTCTGTCAGCTGGGCCTGTGTGGTCGGTGACTGAGCTCTTTGAAACAAAACATAGTAATTGATGCCATAGCATCTGGTGTGCACAGCAACCCAGGGCTCGTGCAGAACACTCACTATGGGCCAGAGGTTCCAGGGTCACCTCTTAGCTCCTGTTTCTTTTCTAGATTCAGGTGGATGAAAAGGGGAAGATTGTGGACGCCAGATTTAAAACATTTGGTTGCGGCTCCGCCATCGCCTCCAGCTCCCTAGCCACGGAGTGGGTAAAGGGGAAGACGGTAAGAGTGCTCACAGATTGTGTGAAATTGTTGAACCTCATCACTCAGAAGGATTTCCAAGTGTTTTAGGCCAGCCTAGTCTACATAATGAGGTCTGTCTCAAAATAACTATAGAATTAAATCAGAATTCTCTGTGACCTTGGCTCTAGAAGAATCCAGTTATAAATCACAAAGCAAAAAGCAGGAAGATGAAGACGGCGAGTTCAAAGTCAGCCTGGGCCTTGCAACAAGAAGACCTTGCTAAAAAAAAGTGTGCTTGATTTCTTGAAGCCATTTTTCTAAAGTTTAATACTGGTTACATTCCTCACATTGGGAGTTGTGGACCATTTTGTTGCAAGGCTTTGTGTTAATTACTGCTGTTTGGTTATCAGCTAAATAAAAGAGGGTCATCACCACACCAGTCTTTCCACCTGAGCAGAGCTGAAAGAAACCACCCAGGGTTTTCCCTAAGGTCCTTAAGGTTTCCTGAGACTTGCTATGTGATAGCTGCCCTGCTTGAGATCTCATTTTAAATCGCATGCTCATCCTCTGCACCCTCCCAGGCCCCATCCAGTTGTCAGCCAGCTCTCCAGCCAGCTTGTTCTGGAAGAAAATGGCACCAAGGAAGTTGGCGGTTAAGAATTGGGGGGGGGGGGTGAGACTGCGCACGTGCCCCCAGGGCCTGGCCTTTAGAGGGCTCTGAGCTTTGACAGTGGTCTCTTTCTCTAACCTTGAGGTCTGCCTGGGAGAGACTGGCTTTCCTTAATGTACAGGCCACACCTCACAGCCTCCTGTCACCCCTCAGAGCTCTCAGACTCCAGGCATCCTCAGACAAAGGTCACACAAGCAGCCTAGGCAATGCCTGCCTTCATTAGGCAGGGCATCTCATTCTTGCTTACCCAACCAGGCAGTGCGTGGAGGGTGGGGCCTGCTGGAGACCCCTTGGTACACAGTGGCAGTCCTGTACTTGTTTTTGAAATCCTAAGCAGGCGTTACCCCTGACAGCCTTCCCTTTTCACTGCCGACCCTCGGCAAGATTCACTAAAACTCTGTACTTTCCCTATACCTCAGGTGGAGGAAGCCTCGACCATCAAAAACACAGACATCGCCAAGGAGCTCTGCCTTCCCCCCGTGAAACTGCACTGCTCCAGTGAGTCTGCCTCCATTGCCAGGCATCTAAGACTCTTGGGAGTCATAAACTCCCTATTAGGACCCCACCTGTGGCCCCAGAAAATGGCTGCCATGGTAACCTTTATTAGGTTGAAGTTCGCTCTCACAGCCCAGACCTCTAAGAAGTCAGGCTAAGAGACGCTGTGACCTGGAGCCACACCGAACACCCAGAAACACCCAACCGGACAGCATTGCTCCCCTCAGAGATGAGGAAATGAGGCTTGGGGAGAGGCAGTAGGAGGGCCAGAGGTGAGCCTGGACCTTTGTTCAGAATCTGCTGTTCCTAGCACACCATAGCGGATAGGCTGAGCAAGAGATAGCTTTCCACCACCCTGTTCACCTCATCTCCTCAGGTGAGGCATTGTACACCGCCTACTGCACTCACTGCCCTACGAGAGGCCGTGCGCCTCAGAACCTGCAGTCAGATCTGATGCCCTCCATCCTTATAGGTGTCCCAGAAAGCTGTCGGGATTTACTGACTGAGTTATAGCTCACGTGCATCAGAGGTTAGGCTGAGCACTCCAACACCACCTTAATGGTGCCCACCATTAGTGGGACACCACCTGAGATCACACCCTCCACTTGAGCTTATACACAGTTTGGCAGTTCTGGGAAAGCCTCAGCCTTCAGCCTTCCAAGTGCTTATCTCTGTGGGTTGTTATCTTTCTGCCCCTTCCAACTCCCAGCTTCTACTTCCCCCATAGCCTGACTCTCAGTACAAGCCTTCCAGTGTGGGAGGAGGTGTGCAGGCCACGCCTTCAGAGTCCTTGGCTTAAGACAGCTCTGCCAGCTCCTGTGACCTCTAGTCTATACTCTGGGACCTGATCTTTGTTGTGTCCTTGCCAGGTGACAGGCGCTTTCTGGAGATCCCCTCACTATCCCAGCCAGGAAGGTGTGACCATCCCAGTCTGTGTGTGCCCAGCTAGGACACTCTTGGGCCTTCCCAGCTGTAGCACCCTTCAGTTAAAAAGATTATTTTCTTAAGACCACCTCCCAGCCGGGCGGTGGTGGCACATGCCTTTAATCCCAGCACTAGGGAGGCAGAGGCAGGCGGATCTCTGTGAGTTTGAGGCCAGCCTGGTCTACAAGAGCTAGTTCCAGGACAGGAACCAAAAAGCTATGGAGAAACCCTGTCTCGAAAATTCAAAAAAAAAAAAAAAAAAAACCTCCCAGGCCAGGGAGATGGCCCACGCTAAAGACTTGTCACCAAGCCTGAGTTAGAGCCCTAAACCTACATAGTGGAGGAGAAAACCCCCTTCCCTGAGTTGTCCTCTGACCTCCATGTGTGCATAACACATGCACCTGCTCACTTCCGTGTAAAAAAAAAAAATGCATAGATACTCTAAATGCATATTTATAAAAATATGTAAATATATAAAGATGTATGTATAGAAGTGTATAAAATAATAAAGACCACCACTCCAGTGTCTAGAAATTGAAGCTATCTACCTTTCCATGCCTTCCAGTGCTGGCGCAAGATGCCATCAAGGCCGCCCTAGCTGATTACAAAATGAAACAAGAATCTAAGAAGGAAGAGCCAGAGAAGCAGTGAGCCCTGGAGAAGCCCCAGCTGGTCACAGCAGCTGCTTCCCACCGGCTACTTCCCACCACCCTTGCACCACGCCAGAGAAGCTACGAGAAACAGGCACTCTGCATCATCTGCATTGTGGTTCTAATGCAGGCAAATACACTGTTGATTACGCCTAATCCTGCGCTCCTTTCAGCTCACTTGCGTCCTTAGTGCAGTTAACGTGTCTGTTCTGATTTATGTTATGGCCGGGGAACTGAAATCAGCACTGAAGTCGTAAGCTTTGGCAGCCTCCGGAGAGTGACAGCAAATTTTCCCTAACCCTGTGTGGGGAGATGCCAGCAGAATGCCTTGTTCTAGTTATTTGATAGAGTTTATTACTGTATGTTTAACAGATCTGCATATATATATTATAATAAAAGAATATAAGATGATGGTTTTCTCCAGTGAGCCTGTCTCTTGTCGCTCGCCCCCCAGTTCTGTCCCAAGCCCCTTGGGGTTCTCCAAGGCCAGGCTGAGATGGAGGACAGCACACCGGACAGCAGTGGCCACTTGGTGCTTTTGAAGGGGCATAGAGGATGTCTGCGCTTTTCACTGCACTTTGGGATGTGTGGTCAACTCACAACAGCTTTGAGGGTCCCTGCAGTAATTCCGAACCTGGTCTGTGAAAGTCAAATTAACCCAAGAAGCTGGCTGAGGTGTTGCCTAACCCTGTGGGCCAAGCAGAACAGCCTCAGGGTGAGCTTCAACTATTGCCCAGGCTCTGGCTTCATTCTGGCAGACGGTTCTGCTAGTGGCCTCACAGGCTTTGTGTCGTGACCAGTGAACCACTCTGGTAGAGTGAAGAAACTCGTGAGTTCTGCCAGTGAGCGTGCCCGTCTCCTGTTTCCCAGAAGGGTACATGTACTGCACTGGCACTCAGTTTGCTCAAGACAGGCGTGGCACCTGCCTGTAAACCCAGCACTTAACATGGGTTAAGGGAGATTAAAAGTTTGAGGTCAGCCTGGGCTACAAAGACCACGTCTCCAAACACACAATCTGCTCAGGCAGGGATAGCAGCCGCTCCTGCCCTGAGCTCAGTACAGCTCATTGAGAGGTCCTGATTCTAGTGAAGATGCTGGAACACTACCACAGTGAACTTCAAAAGCAAACTTTTTCTGATGGTGGCTTCTGTGCAGGCGTATGCAGGCAGACTCTTAAATCATCTTTATTTTAAAATACTCTGGGTTCTGGGGAAGGGCCCAGAACTTCAAAGGCCACTCACTCCCTCCACAGTCGGGAGGAGACCACAGGCCAGAGTCCATCAGAATCTCAAATTAGACCCTGGGTGGGGCCGTGTCAAATTGTCCTGCGGGGAGTGTCATGCTGTGCCATTTAGTCCCCTGCTTGTGGCAGTGGCACAGTGCCCCACCTCTATTTGTGACTTTAAAATGAGGCACTTCTGTCCCAGCTGACATCTGAATTCACACATCAAAAGTTGCCTCCAGCACAGCATAACCCTGAGAATATGAGCGGGTGCAACCCCAACATGTCTAATTTCTAGAACTTGCTCTAAGTCCACCCCTCTACAGGCAGATCAACTTTGGGTGCCATGTACCCCTCACTGAGCCTAAGTGAGGGGTTTGTCACAGTCTCCATGTGGATCTCTGAACCCTGAGTAACTCTCTCGTGCAATGTCTGCTCTTTGGAGGGTTTGGGGGTTTTTTTGTTTTTGTTTTTTGTTTGTTTGCCTCAAAATCCTCCTGCCTCAGCCTCTCAAGTGTGTGATTATTTACAGGTATGAACCACATGGGTGGATCACATAATTGGTTTTGAAAGTCAAGGTGAGACCTCTTCATTTTTCCCCTCTTCCTGGCAAGCTGCAGGGAGCTGCACTATGAAACACCCATCCTTAGCTGGCCCTGGCTGAGTTCTTGCCCTGTCTGTCCTGACAGGTAGCTGTGGCTCTGGGGACATCAGAGGCTTCACCTGGAACACCCACACGAAGCACTAGCCTTCACTTACTGTGACTCTGTCATCCAGGGGATTACCAGTGAATGGCTGATGACACTTCAGCCCCTTTGTACACCAGGCACTGGAGCTAAGAGCTCAGGATAGAAAAATCTGAAGTGCTAGGAACTGAAAAGACAAAGAAAGGAAACAGTGAAGTTAGGGGTCTGAGGTCAAGATCCCTCCAGTCAAGAGTCAGCTGAGAAAGTGTAATGGTTTAAGTAAAATGCTGCAGGTCCCTGAGGGACGGCAGTGGACAGCCGGCCATGAACTCAGGCTGCAGGTCCCTGAGTGGCAGCAGGCAGCGGGCAGAAGGTCCCGAGATCACGGCAGGCCACGAAGGCGGAGGGTGGGGGGGAGCAGGCAAAAAGCCACGTGGCAGGTGAGAGACCGAGACAGATAGACATGCCATGCAGAGTGAAGTTGGATATTTATTTAGTGGGTTATGTATGGAAGGCAAGGGGAAAAGGAAGAAGAGCAGAGAGAGAGGCAGAGACAGAGGGGGGAAGAGAGAGAGAGAGATGGAAAGGAAGGGACTCAGACTAGAAGCTGAAGATCAGCTTGCCTCTGCGGACAGGTGGGTGTGGGTGTGTTTCAGTGTGTTTGTGGCTTGTCTCTTAAAGGGACAGCAGGAAAGACCCTTACAGAAAGACCTTATCTGTTATTGTAGTTTCCATGAACACTGGCATCATCATTCTTGCTGCTATTCACAGGAGTGTTATTACCATGAGAACCATTACTCTTTTATAATAAGATAATATCAAGGTTTCCAGCTTCAGTGTTGTTACCTGGAACTACATAGTGCTCCAGGGAACTACACAATACTCTACAGTGCTCCAGGGCACCACACAGTGCTCTACAGTGCTCCAGGGCACTACACAGTACTCTACAGTGCTCCAGGGCACTACACAGTACTCTACAATGCTCCAGGGCACTACACAGTGCTCTACAGTGCTCCAGGGCACTCCACGGCACTCCACAGTGCTCCAGGGCACTCCACGGCACTGCACGGTACTCCTTACTACACACTACTTTACAGATCCTCCTGGTGATAGCCATGCAGCAGTAAACCAGTAACTCCTGTCATGTGATTTGACAGCCAAATTTGCTTCACCACAGTTTTCCTGCCATGGGGCTGAACACTGCCCCTCACCACCTCCCAGATATCTTTGGAAGGTCATCTTCGACACCTCTACCCCTGGCCTCACTTCACAGACACCTAACTCCCAAGAGTCCCTGAGGGGAGGAGAACCCTCAATACTCTGGAGTTGATGGTGCAGAGCGATTTTTGGACCCTCCCGTGCTGCCCCAGGGCCTCAGGCTAATGGGTCACAGGAAGCTCAAGTGGGGAAAAGGGCTGGACCACACTCTGCCCAGCGCATCATGCTCTCCAGTCCGCCACCTGCAGCCTGAAAGCGGAACCATGGGACTTTAGGGACAACTTTGAAAGGAAATCAAAGGCCTGGGTTCTGATCCTAACTATGCCATGATCTGTCTACAACAAAAGTGTAGCCATATACTTAACCTTGCTGAGCGTCTTGTCCCTCACTGGGAGACTGGGACAATACTGGCTCCCAAGCTACAAGACTGTTGTGAGGGTTAATTCCCACTTAAGCAGAAAATTCCACAACACTTGGCATCTAGCAAGCGCCAGTGCCAGGCACCACCACCGCCGGCACAGCCATCAGCACCCCAACACCTGGTATCCTCATGCTGGACAGTGGATTGTGTTCCCTGAAAACCTCCAAAGCAACTGTCCCTGGAGAGAGCATGGCGTGGCGCTCAAGGTTAGATAGCTGTGCTAATGTGAGCCTAGTCCAAGAGGAACAACAGCAGCCTTTCAAAAGGGGTCTCTCCCGTGCTCAAAGGATAGGCTGGGTGAGGACAGCGTGGCTGTCTACATTCCAGGAAAGAGCCACATCAGAACTGAACCTGCGGGATCCTCGCTTGTGGGCTTTCCTACCTCTAGGGCTATGAGAAAATAAGGTTCAGTTGTGAAAGCCACATCATTTGTGATACTTTGTTATGGCAGACCAAATACTACCACACCATCATCATCATCACCACCAGCACCATCAACTGTCTTAGCTGGGGTTTCTATTGCTGTGATAAACACACCACGACCAAAAGCAACTTGAGAAGGAAAGAGTTTATTTCAGCTTATACTTCCAGGTCACATCCATCACTGAGGGGAGTCAAGGCAGAAACTCAAGGCAGGAACCTGAGGCAGGAACTGAAGCAGAGACCATGGATGAGTGCTGTGTACTGGCTTGTGCACTATGACTTGCTCAGCCTGATTTCTCTCTCTCCTGGAACTCAGTATGCATAGTCATGCATATCTCATAGTCATGGAGACCACCAGTCTGAAACTAACAACACAAAGACTTATCAGTCATTATAAAATCTTGGCCTTAGCTTAGGCTTGTTCCTAATGAAATGAGTTTTTTGTTTGTTTGTTTGTTTTTGTTGGTTTTGGTTTTGCTTTTCAAGACAGTGTTTGTCTGTAGCTTTGGAGCAAGTCCTGGAATTCACTCTGTAGACCAGGCTGGCCTTGAACTCACAGAGATCCACCTGACTCTGCCTCCCCCATGCTGGGATTAAAGGTGTATGCTACCACACCTGGCTATCAATCTGCTTTCAGCCAGGACCACCAGCCCAGAGCTGGAACCACCCACCACGGGCTGGACCTTCCCATATTAATCACCAATTAAGAAAGTGCCCCACAGGCTTGCCTACAGACCAGGTTTTTGTTGTTGTTTTGTTTAGGTTTGTTTTGGTTTTGGATTTTTGAGAAAGGGTAGCACCTGTAGCCCTGGCTATCCTGAAACTTGCTCTATAGATCAGGCTGGCCTCAAATTCACAGAGATCCCTCTGCCTCTCTGCCTCTGCCTCCTGAGTGCTGAGGTTAAGGTGTGGGCCATCATACCCCACAGGCCAATCTTCTAGAGACATTTTCACTACTGTGGTTCCCTCTTCTCAGATAACTCCAGCTTGTGTAAAATTGGCAAAACAAACAAAAGCTAACCATGACAACCACCATCACCATCATTGCCACTATCACCACCACCACCCTCACCATCACCACCACCACCACCACCATCACCATCACCATCATCACCTTCACCACCACCATCACCACCACCACCCTCACCATCACCACCACCACCACCATCATCACCACCATCACCATCACCATCACCACCACCACCACCACCTTCACCATCACCACCCTCACCATCACCACCCTCACCACCACCATCACCATCACCATCACCACCACCACCTTCACCATCACCACCATCATCACCACCACCACCACCACCTTCACCATCACCACCCTCACCATCACCACCACCACCACCACCACCACCACCACCACCTTCACCATCACCACCCTCACCATCACCACCACCACCACCACCACCACCACCACCTTCACCATCACCACCATCATCACCTTCACCATCACCATCACCACCCTCACCACCACCACCTTCACCATCACCACCACCACCACCACCTTCACCATCACCACCATCATCACCTTCACCATCACCATCACCACCCTCACCACCACCACCTTCACCATCACCACCACCACCACCACCCTCACCATCACCACCCTCACCATCACCACCTTAGCCTTCTACCGCTATCAACACAATCTCACCTTAATCATCACCATTACCACCACTATCATCAATGCCTCCATTATTACAGTGAGCTGATTTTCCAATGGATTCCATGAGCAGGGTGTTCACTTGAGAGTATTCCCGGGCTCTGCCCATTCCTGTAGAAGTGGGGCAAGAATTCAGAATTGGGAAGAGAGGAGAGAAAAGCAGGTGTTGCCAAACCAAGGCCTCAGTCCCCATGATGGGGCACTTTAGGCCTGATCTTCCTCCATGTTGTCCTGCATCAGGACCTATGCTCCTTCACACTCTTGGGCTCAGGACTCCTTTTCCCAGAGAGAGTTCTAGTTTGTACTCAGAGGCGATAAGATGCTGATGACTAAGCCGCTGGAATCCCAGGCATCCTCTAAGCTGCTGTCTATGGGCAAAGGGCTTGGTAGAGTGGCTCACCCTGCCCCACTGGTCCTTCAGCGCCAGGATTCTGCTCTCTTTCCCACAACAGAAGGGTCCCCAGAGAGTGTTCTCCATTAGGGGACTTCTCATCCACTTCAACCTCCAAAGACTCCAGACAGCACAGCACAGCTTCCTCTCAGGTTTGACTTGGACATCTCTGGGCTCTGGATCTTCTTCCAAGCATCCCCAGTCTCCAGGGGAGCCAAGTGGAGGACAGAGCATTGGTGTGGTTATCTGTGTGCGTATGCGTGTGTGTGTGTGTGTGTGTGTGTGTGTGTGTGTGCATGAGAGAGAGAGAGAGAGAGAGAGACCTAGGTTAACTAAGCTAAGGGTCCCCTGGGACAGAGCTGAGCCTGTACTGTGTGTGACCCACCAAAGCTTCATTCGCTCAGCGCCTTTGGATGCCACTAGAATTGTTTGCAATACTGCGAGGTCGCATCAAAAGTGCCCCGCACAAAGCATTGCGAGGTCACGTGGAAAGTGCCCTGCACAAAGTATGCCACAGGCGCTTATTAAATGCTCATTCCTCCAAAGGTGGTTCCTTACCACACTGCAAGGAAGGACTCAGGAGCAATGCACTTCATCCTTTCATGAAACAACTCCCCCTCCCTCTCTCTCACAGTTTGCTTGGGACATTGGGCTTGCCTCACCCAGTTCATTCGTACCTCAGGATCTTTGTACCTGCCGTCCCCAGTTCAGGAACCATCTTTCCAAGAGCTCCCCAAGGTTGCTGACCCTTCAAATGGGTCTCACCTAAGTGCCACCTTCCAGACAGGCTCCTGTAGCCACCATTAAGGTGACACAGGCCTGGTCACTTTCGAGAGATCACCTCTGAAGCATCACCCTTGGCTCACCTTCCTCCAGCAAGGGCCCTGGAAAACCAGGAGGCAGAGCTTGTCGGGTCCTCCCGGGCAACTTTCTCTGCTTACTTTCAGTGCATGAGGTAACTGGATCCCATGAACCATATTTCCTTCCAGCTCAAGCAAAGAGACTCCACAGACTTGGAAAAGTCCTCATTTTAGCCAATAACCAGTACAGGCCAGATCATGATTCATCCACCACTGCCTAGACAGCCCCTCCTCCCCTCACCCCAACCTCAGAAGCCATTCCCAAGCCCTCCAGCTGCAGGGGTGGGTAAGAAGAAGGCAGGGCATCAAGACCCCCTCCTGCCTGTCTGCCACTGGCATTTTTACCCAGCCTCAGGATGTCTCTGTCTGGAACAACTCAGGGGAAGTCGGGTCCCCCTGGGATCCCACCAGCCGGAAACAGCAGCAGAAGTGTGCTGGAGAAAGCGCTGAGCCAGCAGGAGTGCAGGGATGCTGTTCCAGGGATGGCTCTGCCTGCCTGCAGGCACAGCTCCTAGCCCTGCAGGGTCAGCACTTCGGGGAGACATTAGGCTAGACAGCAGGAGGAGGGTAGGTGCTCACAGAGCCAGCTCATTCAGTTTGCCAGGGACAGGTCCACCCAGCCTCCTACGGTGAAGGAAAACTTCGTGTTCCAATCAGGCTGGAAAGCATTTGCTAGACTTCAGTGGCTGTCCTGGCTCCTTTCATGTCAATTTGACACAAGCTGGAGTCACACGAAAGGAGGGAGCCTCAACTGGGAAGACGGCTCCCTCATAAGATCTAGCTGTAGGGCATTTTCCTAGTTAGTGATTGACAGGAAGGGCCCAGCCTATGGTGGGCGGTGCCATCCCTGAGCTGCTGGTCCTGGGTTCTATAAAAAAAAGCAGGCTGAGTAAGGCAGTAAGTAGCACCCTCCATGGCCTCTGCATCAGCTCCAGCCTCCAGGCTCCTTCCCTGCTTGAGTTCCCACCCTCACTGCTTCTGATGATGAAGGGAACTGTGAGTGAAATAAAACCTTTCCTCCCCAAGTAGCTTTGGTCGTGGTGTCTCATCACAGGAATACTGGCCCTAACCAGACAGTGATCATCGGTGACACAAAGACTTAGTAATCAGGGGCTGGAGAGACGGCTGAGGGGTTCCCAGCACCCACAGGCAGTTCATAGTTGTCTGCAACTCCAGTCCCAGAGGACCTGACACCATAGCTAAACAGTGATGCACACAAAATAATTTTTTTAAAAAAAAAAATCTTAGCGATGTAAAACTAGAAAGGGGTTTCCTTACCTTTGAAAAAGCCATTTGCTAGGAGAGACAGCATACGTCTTACCATTACCAAAATATTAACAGGTTCTCAGGAACAGCAGATTCAAAGACTACACTCTGCATCGCCTCTGTGAAGGCCATCATGGCCTTCGCCTCTGCCTGTCACTCACCAACTGCACAAACAATGGGATCGCCAGTATCACCTCTACCATCATCCATTCTACCACACCATCACCTGTACCCCTACTATCTCTTCCTCCACCACCACTGCCATCATCCCCCTCTGCTGTCATCTCCTTCGCCATCACCTCCCCATCATCACCTCCCCCATCATCCTCCCCCATCATCACTTCCCCTATCATCACCTCTCCATCATCAACTCCCCCATCATCACCTCCACCATCATCACCTCCCCATCATTACCATCCACCATTACCACCTTCCCAACGATCACTTCCCTCATCATCACCTCCACCATCCTCACCTCCCCATTCTCACCTCTCCATCATCACCTCCCCCATCATCCTCCCCATCATCACTTTCCCCATCCTCACCTCCACCATCACCTCCCCCATCATCACCTCCCCCATCATCACCTCCCCATCATCACCTCCCCCATCATCACCTCCCCATCATCACCTCCCCCATCATCACCTTCCCATCATCACCTCCCTCATCATCACCTCCCCCATCATCACCTCCCCATCATCACCTCCTCATCATCACCTCCCCCATCACTATCTCCCCATCATCACCTCCCCATCATTACCTCCCCCATCCACCATCATCACCTCCACCATCATCATCTCCCCATCATCACCTCCACCATCATCACCTCCCCATCATCACCTCCCTCCCCATCATTACCTCCCCCATCCACCATCATCACCTCCCCAATGATCACCTCCCCCATCATCACTTCTCCATCATCACCTCCACCACCATCACATCCACCTTCTCCATTATCATAGTCACCACAAAGGCCCATAGCTTGGCTGTCACAGACCTCCACACACACCCCAAGAAGCATACCCACCCATGGTCACCAGGAGCCCAGGGCAGGGGAGGTCTGAAGTCTCCCCCATCAGACAGGTAGTCACTATGGCCCCAGTACCACAGCATCGTCCATGTGCTCTGGAGGGGTGGGGGATGCCCTGTTCCACATCTGAGGTGCTGCCTCAGGAAAATCCCTCTGATTCCCTTGTCATAAAACGAACTCAACCACGGCGGGCAGTGGTGGCACTCACCTTAACCCCAGCACTTGAGAGGCAGAGGCAGGCAGATCTCTATGAGCTCAAGGCCAGCCTGGTCTACAGAGCGAGTTCTAAGATAATAAGGGCTGCAACAGTGAAACCCTGTTTCAAAAAGGAAAAAAAAAGGAATCAATTTCCAGGGCTGGGGCTGTAGCTCAGTTGGAAGGTTCTTGCCTAGCATGTGTGAAGTCCTGGGTTCCATCCCCAGCATTGCATAAAACCAGGTGTGTGTGGTACACGTCTGTAACCCCCACACTCACTGGGTGAAGGAAGGAGGATGTACAATGTCATCCTAGGCTTGGTGCAGGAGAGGAGCTAGCCTTTCTCTGCTGCTCCCAGGTCCCTGTTCTCACTGATTCTAAACACTAGCACAGCCGTCCCCTGCTCCACCTGCTGTGGTTTCAGGGATACTTCCATAGGCAAGTTCTAGAAAAGCCTTCCTGATCCACACTCACTGCTCACCACAGGACCTTCCAGGAGGGGTGATGATCCCCCAGTAGTCTGCTCAAAGCCAGACCGTGCGAAGAATGAGACCAAAGCAAGATGTGCTGGGAGTCACGGGAGAAGGCAAAAGCCCAAGCCCAGGTCTCCAGCACAGCTCTGCATAGGCGAGGCCCTGAGGAAATTAGACTTTTGGTTTAAGGAGCTCAACTTGTGTTAGATAGCAGGAAGGACTTCCTCAGAGTGCAGGGTTGGTGGACAGTGGAGAGAGGGCAAAAGGAGCTTAGGAAGGAGGGGGCGGTTGAAGATGGCAGGGAAGGGGCTACATCCCTCTGCGGGGAATTCCAGAAGGAGGAGTCAATTTATTCTGAGATCTTGTGGCGAGGCTAAGTGATGTTGCTTACGGGAGAATGGCTCTGGCGGCCCTCACCTCCAACCTCACAACAGGCTCTCATGGAAATAAATGGGTTTGGGGAGGGCACTTGGGATTTAGCAGTCCAGCCCAAGCCTCATTCTCCCCTCTCCACTATGTCAGTCGCAGCTGAGGCCCAGAGAGAGCAAGTGACTTGATCCAGGCGGCAGAGCCCAGCAAGGCACAGAGGCCAGCCTTTCCTCCCGGGGTTGGACCCCATTTCCATCACAAGCCTATCTCAGGGTGGCCATCTGGGCCCCAGATCCCTGGACTCTCAGTATCCACCCACATGCTGCACCCAGGGTCCAAGAGGCAGGCAGGGCTTGGTCACTCGCTGGCCGCCTGGAGTCGGCAACTCAGCAAGTTCCCTTCCTCAAGAGGAAGGCCAACAGGTCCTGGGTGCTGATGCAAGGTGTTCAGCCGCCAGGACTCTGCCGCATGAGTGTCTCCAGAGATTAAGGGCCCGCAGCAGCAGACAGGAAGGGCCTGACAAGAGACTAGCTACAGTCCAGAGCCCTTGCAGACTCTCTCGCAAGCCACAAGGGATGCAACACCCAGCATTGGAGAAGTTGCCACAGGCTGTCCAAGATCCTGAGGATGTCTGAGCTCATTTACCTTGGGTTCCTTCCCCCAAAGCACCCAGTCACTTACCCATCCACCTGCCTGTCCGCCCATTTGTCTGCCCACCCGACAATCTACCCACCCACCCATCCATCCACTCACCCTCCCACCCACCTTCCACCTACCCACCCATCCATCCATCCATCCACCCACCCATCCATCCACCCACCCACCCACCCACTATCCACCCATCCACCCACCTATCCACCCACCCACCCACCCACTCACTGCATTGTAGTAAGTGCAGGAAACTGACTATAGAGTTCAGCCATCCAGGAGTTCAAAGCTTGGCTCAGACACACTCTGGTTGTATGACTTTGGGCGGTCACTTAACCTCTCAGAACCTCAGGGTCTTTCCTCAGCAGAAGGTGAATGACCTCGGTGCCCCCTCAGCTCCATGAGGGCCCAATGCACCAGAAAGTGCTCTGTTTCGGCGCTCACACCCATTATCCCAGCACTTGGGGGGCAGAGGCAGGAGGATCTAGAGTTTGAGGCTACCCTGAACTGCACCCAGTCTCAAAACAAACAAAAACAAGCATTGGTGGCCATCCCCAGGGCACAGTGACACCTAAAAAGGGGTGGAAATTCTAAACTGGGATTTAAACATGGAGGGAAGACAGAGCCTCCCCCCTCCGTGCTGACCCAGACGACATTCAAGCCCTGGCCACGGTCACCTCATCCCCAAGGGGAGACGAGAAACAGCTGAGATGTGACCTTTGACCTCACTAGACACCCCATATGAACCCAGGGATGTGAGGGGGATCAGAGATCCAGTCTCTCATCCCTCGTCCTCTGAGGACAGTCTCAGCTCTGGTCTCCCAACCCTCGGGACCCTTTGGCTGCTCAAAAAAGTGCAGTTGCAGGAGTCTAGTTGACTCTAGGAGTCTCCCAGATCAGGCTGCAGAGCCTTGAAACTCATCTCAAAGAAGAGAGGCCTCCTCCCCCTCCTCCATATCTTTCCCCCTCCTTTTTCTTCTCCTCCTCCCCTTCTGCCCCCTCCTCCCCCTCCCTTCACAGTCCAGCATCCACAGGGGGCCTGGTCCCAGGAAGAACTCAGTTCCTGCCTAGACCATCACCATGGCTCCTATTTCAGACAAGCCCACTTAAGCCCAGAGGCTTGTGGCTTGCTCAGACACACAACTGGAAGACAGACTTG